GAGAGAGAGAGAGAGAGAGAGAGAGAGAATGTAAAAACACAGTAAAAGGGTTGCTATGAAATGATGGAAATATTTATTTGTGTTGAGCACTAATGCAAACACTTGTCACTAAACTTAAGCCATATATAAATACGGATATAATTTCTTAGAAACCCTATTCTTTATGGCCTAAAATGTTGACCTTATCGTTGACCCTTTCTATAGCCAGCCTTTTGTATATAAACCCTATAAAACGAAAATCAAAAACATTCTCACATACATATACTGTATAAATGGTATTTTCAATCAAAATATTTGCACTATGTACATTGAAACAAAATGCTAACTTTGATTCTACAAAGTATTGGTAACACGATAATTTGAACATGCTAAATATTTACTCTTTAGACTAATAAAGAATGGCACAAAACTATTTTGGAAACTGTTATGGGCTAATTAAATGAACCATGCATATTATTTATAAGAATTTAATAAATTAAGTAATTTAACAAAGTTAATTTCAATTCGCACTACTCGTACACTAATTTGCGAAACCATATGTTTCGCAATACGAGTGAATCATTAGATTTAAGTATAATCAGTGTATTATTGGAGAACATTCTTCTAAATCACACAATTTATTGGTTCAGACAATCATATATTGAGACCTAATTATCATTAATTAAAGCAAATATATTGACACTCGCGAGCCATGCATTCACTGATTAGATCCATAATTATCTTTTCATTTATGTATTTTCCAAATGTTTGTATAATTTTAGCTAAAATTTATAACAATTACTGAATTTATAATAATTGGCAAACATTGCAGACAATGGCCGACAAACAAGAGGTTTTGTCGCCATTGGTGTCCCGACCCGGAGATAATATCTACTCTCAAGCCATCAAATCGGGTGACACTGTCTACATGTCGGGAGCCATCGGGTGGTGCGCGAAGGGCCGGCGGTTCCCTCCACAACATTGTTAAGATGACTGTCTATATCCTCGACTATAAGAATAGTCCGATCATTAATAAAGTGTTGGCCAAACATTTGCGTAAACCATAACCGGTCAGAGCTATGATAGGAGTCGCGGCTTTCCCGAGAGGCGCAGAGATCGAGATCGAGTCGATCGCAGTGTTGCCCAAACAGTTGGTGCCGTCCATAATCTCGTCACCATTTGGGTGATGACGAGAAAACTAGCCCATATGACCTATACTTGACCTAGGTACTTTGAAATTTCTCAATTTCTATACCATTAGTATATAAAATTCCTCCAATTTATGTGCCATAATTGAAATGTTTGTTTTCTAATATTAAAATTATACAAATAGATTATGTTTAATCTATGTAATCTATTTAATCCAAGGTAAGTAATTTAATTTTGACATGTATTTTAATTTTTGGTAATAAATGAAATTTTAACTTAATCATTTAACATTGATTTAACATGATCAAACTATTGATAATTAAATGTCATTATTATAACTTATAAACATAAGTTAATTTTAAAGTTAAATTATTAATTTATATCAAGTTTACATTAACATAGTGCCTGAGTTGTTTAAGTTATCAGTTTTATAAAAGTAATTTTTCCATCATGCTATTTACTGGACACGAGTTAAACTGAAGTGATTTAGAAACACGTGATAAAACAAAACTGAAAAAAGTGTGATTTTATGCTACATAACACAAACTTAACGTAGATCTTAAAACCATTGATTAATTAATAAAATGCAATTAAAATAATGTGGAAAATGCATTGAAATCAAGAGTAAAAGGTGAGGACATCGCTCTGGTCTCCCCTCACGAAGAGAAAAGGGGGCAAATCGGCGGACAACACCTCCAACCACGACATGTAAAGGGCGGCCGAACACGAGTCCTTCCGCGGCATCGGAAGTGTCATTACAATGAGCTCCGAGTGTCGCGAGTGTTCCCATACGAGCTCATGGAGACGGATGTGACGGTTGGTCTACAGACACGACACCACACATACGTGTATATCAATATAAGATCTGCTCATAAATCACACAAACCTTATCGCGAAGAGCAGTCATCTCATTGTCAGTGATGCCATCGCCGGACGAGTCCTCGTTTGTGAGCCACGGCTGGACTACGGCCTCAAACCGTTTCTTCGATATGTCTGTCGGCGCTCTCCCGGCGTCGCACAGAATAATCACTTCGCTGTCGATCCGAAACTTTTCCAACAAAATCTTCATCTGTTGTCTCTCGAGCTCTCCGTCGCCGCCATTGCGGGCCAACGCAAACACCCGGAGCTGAGTATCGGCCCATTGTTTGCGTTTGCGGAGGAGGTGTGGGAGGAGAAGAGTGAGGCCTCCGTCGTCGTACAGCCACCACACGTCCAGATGACCCGTCCGTTGCCGCCAACGGAACTGATTGGCGGCCATTAGAGCGGCCGCGCCCTCCGTAGCGCACATTCCGGGAGTCTCTGGCAGTGAAAACGAGTGACTCTTTGTCGACGAAGTCTTTTTGCTCTCTTGGATCAGTTCTGCCACTCCGGCCAATCTGGAGACGTCCAGTCCGTCCCTCAGCCGCAGTATCGCCAGCGCCAGAGAGTTATCAAACACGTGACTGCAAAACAAAATAAACATAATGTGAGACTCAATGGACTTAAGAGGAAGGCTTTAGTGGACACGCACTGAATGGCGGCGAAGTAGTCGACGACCTCTTTGTACTCGCATTGCAACCAATCGTTTTTAAAGCCAATCATAACCACATTTGGGCGCAGTTTTCCAATGCCTACCGACTGATTGAGTAAAGTGTTTATAAATGATGGGAAAGACTACTAAAGTGAGAGCCAATACCTGAACGAGTGATCGGACGCCGGAAGCGAAGTTGTGGTCGTCGGCCAACGCGTAAAAGCCTTTGATGTGTCGCTCTCTGAGCGCAGTATTGCCGTCACTAAACAACTTATCGCGACTTCTTTGAGACAATTTCACCTAAAATTATGGCAAATATAAGTTAGTTATCGATGAGTGCAGTGATTGGTCAGCACTTACGTCGACAATGTGTGCACATATCATAAAACCCACTTTCTTGACAATAGAGTAGCCAAAGTCGACGAGCGCCGGCCTATCGCTGGTCCCGGCACTCAGAACCAGGAGTTGGGGTCTGTTTGACAATTCAATTCATTAATGTAAACAATCATTGAATACTTTGAGTGAAGAAAACCTGTAGTTTTTGACATGAAATGGGATGGCATTGAGTTTATGGACACTAGAAATGGCCGATATATAGGACTTGGCGTCACGAGAAGAGCCCCAATTGACATCTGGTTTACGGTACATGAGGTAGAGATAGAGGGCACCGACCACTAAATAAGTGGCCAAAGCCATTGGCCAGCGGCCGGTGAACATGACCAGCACTGATACGGCGGCGCCAATCAGTGACACCCACTTGTTGTAGAAGCGAAATGAGGGCCGAAAGCCGGGACTCTTGGCGAAGGAGGCGTGAAAACAGGAAAAGTTGATGAGAGCGTAGGCGCACAGGAAGAAGTTGGAGATAATGGGCGCTATTAGGTTGAGCTGACCGGACAGACAACTGACCAGAGCGACGGCGAATGCCAGTACATACGCCCGACGAGGCTCTCGATTGGGTCCGTAACCTTTGCCGAAGTAACCGATGTATGGGAAGAGTTTGTCGTCGCAAAGGGCCTGAAATACTTTGGGCGCCGATACCAGCGATGCCAACGCCGAGGACAGAGTGGCGGCGAAAACGCCGCCGTAGACAATGGGTCCAAACAGTGACACCAGTTCTATAACTTGGAAGTGATTGTGCAAACCGTACGCACAGTCGCCGAGCGTACAGTTGGCCGGAAGGCCGATACCGTCGGCGTCGCGCAAAACGGTTGCCCCGCATATGAGGGCGAAGAGCATATATGTGGCGGATGTGATGAGAATGGCGAGCAACGAGCCTTTGGGAATAGCACCTTGGGGGTTTTTCAAATCGCCCGATATGTTGGCGCCCGCGAGTATACCCGTCACCGACGGGAAGAATACGGCGAACACCGAGAAGAATGTGTTGTCTTCGCGAAATTCGGGCCAAAAATTTTCGACCATAAGTGTCACTAAATAAAGAGAGGAAGAGATGGTAAACACAACTGATGGCTAAGAGTTGGGCTGAAGATATTACTATTCCATCCGACGAATCCCTTTGCCTTCTGGTTCTCATTGGGAGGGATTAGGGATCCGATGATAAAGTCGACGATTGCCACCAAAAGGATTACCAGAAGTATGATTTGCGCCTAAAATAATGGTTAGCTTTTGTAGTGCAAGAAATAGTGTTTTGTGTATATTTAGTCTCACTTTGGACTCCCATTCCATGCCTATGATAGCGATGGCCAACAAAACACAAACAGTGACCGCAGATATGATCCGTATGTCAAACCAAGAGCCGGCGGACACGTCAATAGAGTTACGCTACAGAAACAGTAGAAGTGATGATAACTATGGGATTAATAAACAGCCAAAACATACTTTGAGCACATCCTGGAGAGCTTCGGCAAACCCTATGACATACATAGCGACGGCCACAGCGTTGGCCAGACTGAAGATAATGCCGATCGCGCCGCCAAACTCCGGGCCCAGCGATCGAGATATCATATAATAAGTGCCGCCGCCTCTCACCTCACCATTGGTACAGATGGCGCACATCGAGATGGATGTGATTGTGGTGACCAAAGTTGCGCTAAGCATTACACCAAACGCCAGACCAATACCCGCTTCGCCGACGACCCACGAGAGGCGCATAAACAGCATTACACCCCATATATTGAGAACACAGCGAATCTAATTTGGACGACAAAATTGGGGTTAGAGTAAAGACTCGGGCCATATGTGGTCGCATACGAGGACGCCTTGAATCCATCCCAGTTTGATAACACCTTCTGTTTGGCTACACTTTAACGTTTCGGTTGACTTCTAAAAGAATTGTATTTAAAAAACATTAGGAAATACAGTTCGGGAAGCGCTGAGAGACGAACCGTGAGGTATGTTTGGTCCGTTTGGCCGGCAAACAGCTCTTCGAGCGTTGGCCTCGATATGCGGCAGTGGACTGACATAACATTGCGGTAGTGGTCCACTCGTGGCGGCGCTTCCCGTGTGAAGTAGTGGTCGTCATCGCCGCCGGCGTACGGCTCGGCGTTCACTTCCTTCACAGAAAATCTATTTTCTGTCGACTTATCACTCATTTTGTCACAAAATGATATGAATTGACGAACATTTCGAGACGAATGACAACCAAAACCGCTGAACAAACAACTCATTCATACAGTCGTTATTAACGAGAAAAGTCAACACAATTGCGATCACGATCTAAACGATCAAATTTCTCGTCCCCCCTTTCCCCCAATTACAATCCATGGTATAAAGTACTCAGTACTCAGTGGTGTAAAGTATATTTGCACTCAAATAAGAGACATATTTCTTAAACGCAAGAATATTCGTGACATGTATTATATAATAAAAACTTTTGTGGAAAAGTTTGTGTTTCTGTTTGTCAACACTAGATGTGAGGCCCACTTGTATTCAGTATTCAAAATACTGTGTTTGAGATTCTGTTGCCTTTGATTCTGGCATAAAGTATCCAAAACTTTGCTTAATTTTAAGATTGATTCTGATTTAAAAATTGCTTAATTTGTTTATTTAAAACATTATTATAATTTTAATGATTAGATTTCACAATGTAATTTTAAATACATTTTGTACTAAATGTACAAAAATGGTAGAATAAATATTTGCATTTTAATAATTAGATGAGACTTAAGACATGGTGTTTTTTTATTGTTTGACACATGTGTGCATACATTGTAAATAGATTTTTAATGTAACAAATCATGACAATTACCTTGACATTGGTTTAACAATCACATAACAATCTAGATATGTTTTTTGGTGCAAATTGATTTTTGAATAGATATTATCTTATTGTTAATTTGTTGTAAAAATATTGACATTTATTTGTAATTTTATTACTCAATACAAGTATTTTAAAAATATATTTTTAGAAATTTCAAGGTTTACAAATAGTTTTCGCAACTTTCGCAATACGAGTACAAATTGACAGCAAATCTAATATAAGTTATTATAGATTTAAAAATTATTTTCATTTAATTAAACATTTGAAAAAACATTTAATATTTTGCAATCACTAAAATACTATAATATTATGCACCTTTAAATCCGGGAATAAAGTGATCATCATATCAAACATAATCTATAAATTGAAGTGTCTATCAATGTTTTATTTAGATTATTGGCTATTAAGTCAAATATAGGACATTTGTCTCCACTAAAACACCAGTGAAATGCATTTTCAATCCATTAGTTTTCTATGCAAACCATTTAAGTATTATTGAGTTTTCAATCATTTAAATTAAACACATTTATGGAAATCTTTTAAACGAAAACCATTTAAAAAGTCTACAAAATTGTCCGTCAATTCCCGTAAACCAAAACCCATATTATAATGAATTATTTTGATTGGCTTTGAGTTCGAAATCCAGTTTTTCAGATCGACTTAAGAGCTAAACCATTGAACACGTTATGGCCTTTCCATGTCTGTCAGGGAGGGTATACTCGGCCCGTCTATTGACATGTATATCCAGATTATATTGTGAGTCGCGCTCAATGATCAGGGAATGTGTTTTTAGAGTATTTTATTAGATTTGCATACATTAGAGCCAAATATCCATTTAGATATCAAACACAACAGTTATTATTGAGGAAATATAACTGCAGTATTGATCTCATTGTGATTGCAATGAATAAAATTACATCAAAAATAAATAGACAAAATTTTACTCAAATTTTTCCTAAAAGTATTTATTGGGTTCAGAAAAGATCTCAAACATATACAGTATTATTATCATAGAGTAAAGCATATATCGATATATATTTTGGTCCGACATTAATATCAATGATGTGAACGACAGACACGACAAAGAGAGCCATTTATTTCGACCCCAAAAACGACTCAAAAATACATCTCATTTAAAATACACTGTATTTTAGTCGCGAAAAAGTGACAGAAAACAAATACAGCCGAACTTGAAATGCAAACGAGTGTTGATTTATATTTTAAAATAAGTGCTGTATTTATTCGCCTCTTATATATGAGATGCTATTTTTGTTTTAATATTTAAATTTAAAAAAACTTTTTCTATACATTTGATGAGTGTATCCTTTAAATCCCGTTTTAATACTGTTTGGCAGACGTGTCCAGAGTATTGCAAATCATTGATACAACTTTGCCCATTGGGTTTAACAATAGAAAAATTGCTATTATTTACCATTATAGTTTATTTGTAGGCAACCATTTATTGCATTAATATAAAAAACATGTAAATTTACCAAAATGACTTTTAAACAATTTTTTGTTCACTAGAATAATGGCGAGAATCCCCGGAGAGATGAATCGTCCTATAGTTTAGCATTTTATCTATTCTTTTCATTCATTAAATATACGAAAGATATATATATTTTTCTCAAATATTATTATTAATATGGGAACAGATGTAACGATTCTCGCATCCAATGATCACTGGGAGGACAGACCCATCACTAACTCATCCGTCGTTATTGTGTCCGCACTTATATAATGTGCTGCAAAAATAATGTTTCATTTTTACCCCTCATCTCTCACTCCCTATTCAATACATTTGACGCTTTTGTTAAGTTATCTATCGGTTTCATTCACACCATATAAATGACTGAATTAATTACCATTTAATTGATTCTCAATTCTATATATCATTAATTCATTTATTATTAATCGTGAAATTTTGATTGATTTGAATAATGGCTAATAAATAATAGGGAAATTGACAGCATTTTTGCCCAATAATGACCACTACTTATCAATAGAAAACATATATAAATTCTGTAGTTTTGTTTCATATGATATCAATCTTTCAAATGATAACTCAAAGTAACTGAATATTTGTCACACATTTAATGGGAATTTTATTTTTAAAATTTAATGGCTTGAGAGAGAGAGAGAGAGAGAGAGAGAGAGAGAGAGAGAAGTTGTAGATTAGGTGTTGTATTGTTATATAAAAACCTTATTATAAAAGGCTTGACAACGAGTTAGGAAAGGGAGGGAGAGAGTGAAAAAAAAGTTTGGCAAACAATGAATAAGTGCTTTCTTGTGCTCTAATATTAGTGACGAGAAAAAATTGCACAAAAAAAATCTATGAAACCAACGATGAAATAACAACACAACAAAAAGTATAGCAATGCCAACGACAGGGGCTGATGAAGAGTGATGACCAGTCGGTGCGACACTATATGAATATCAAGACATCGCCGCCGATGTATAGCAAAAAGTTAAACGCCGACGGATTTAGCCCTACAGTCGACTTAATCCTCGATTTCTTTTCGCCTCCCCTTCCCGTCAACACCCGAACCAAACACTACTTCTAATGACAATAAGATTTTTTTTGGGGCTAAAAAAATATATGAATGAATAGATTGAATGATAGATAGTTTGGGGTTTCGCTTCTCTCTGCCGAGAAACACAGTCTATATAAACATGTTATACACATATATAGTGTACCGAAGAGTAAATGACATTAATTTATACTTTACTTTAAGCGGATGGGTATTAGTGTAATGTTTGCTATGTTTGCATATAATATACCGTATATTAAGTTTATGTTTGTCTTCATCACCAGAGGATGGACTTAAGGAAAGACTGATTTTTGTTATTTGGCACAAAAAACAGCAAAGTTTGACACAACAAAAATTGAAACATTAACTCATCGCTGATTATAAGCACCAGTTTATGTCGTTATAAACCGGCAATAAATCAAATGATGTCTTAATTATGCATTTATTTTAGGTTTATTCCCAATAAAAATGATGGAAATATTTAGTAATACAAAATATATTATACTTTATCTGCATTTTAATATCATTTATTGTTATTCAGTTGTTTTGCAATCTATTAATGTATTATTTGATAACTAATTCAGTGTTAGGAAATAATTTTATCATTTTATAATCTATGCTATGAATCAATGAGTAAATAATAGGACTTCATGTGACTTAAAATGTGATATAAAAAATATTTCATACAATAAACAACACAATTGCTTAGGAATCTAAAAAAATAAATATTTATTATAATTAAAATTTCATACAAAACTTGTAATTACAATACTATCACTCCGTATATCCGCATATAAATCAAACTCTAGTTGTGTTTTCAAATGATATTATTGTTAATTCTTAACTTAATTTACTTTTTGCCTTCTCTAACAAAGAATGACTTTATTTATCATATAAATCAACGGTGTTTTGTAATTTATTTTTAATGAAAAACACTACACATGGTAGTATTAAAGCCGATATTAATCTAGATCTAAATTTAAAATTTTAATAAAAACAAAGTAATCACAAAAAACTGAGTCTTAGGGATGAAATATTCTCTACCGTTCTGTCGGTGACAATGAATTATGTGTTTAAATGAAGAACAAAATAAAAGTTTTTTTCTTTTCAAACTTAAATCTCAAAAGAATAGCATTTAATAGCGATTTTGTCACCAGAAAAGAGTCATAAGAAATAAGCCATAAATCAAAGTTTGGTTTTTCATTAATTCCGTACCGAAATTCAATAGTTAGACAACAATAGACAGAGAGTTGTTATGTGTAGTCGTGTTTGTGTTGTGATAAATAGTGTGTTTAGTTTACAATTCACTCGACACACACACCGGTGGCACCGGCTTTCATGGCCTACACCGCCAGTGATTGTCATATATAAACGCCGGTATATGTTGTGCCCAACAATACTAGTAGTCCTTCTCTATTCAATTCGCAGACAATCACCAGAAAACAAGTGATTTATATACATATATTTAAACACAATAGTGAATACACTGTATGTGTATATAAAACGAAAAGTCAATTTAATTTCAATTTTGCAGAACTCATCCCATTGTTAGGTGTGAAACACCGACTCGTGAGGGCCCGACTGTTTATTCAGGAGTCAATTTCAGTCAATTGTGTCCACAATTATTATAAACAGATATAAAAAGCGAAATACAATACACTGTTTTTGGATAATAGTTAGCCTTTTAGACTATTTGGGAAATTATTTCACAAATAAATTACACGTTAAGCCACTCTTCTAGTCATGCATTTGCTTGAAATTTTATTTTATTTTTATTCACAATCATTGGCAAAACGAATAG